GAGAGAGAGAGAGAAAGAGAGAAGCATCAGACTTCTTATCAACTGAATTACAATGGCTTATACAAATATTAAATAGCCTATTGTGATGAAACCTTTCGTCACAATAGGCTGCTTAATAATTCACTTTTCGAAAGATAGCAATTATACATGTAAATTATTGTTTGTTTAGCTTTTTACAAATGTGGTTTTTTCATAAATAATTCTTAATACATAATATCAATTCTCTGTACTTATTTATATGAAAAAATACAGTTGTTTGCAACATCTTCTTACTAATGCAAATTACTGCAAACAGTAACTTGAAATTAGTATAATATTAGTATAATTAATATAATTAGTATAATTAGTATAATAGAAGAGCGGAAAAGTCATTTAATTAACTTAATACCTGTGAGCGAATATTTAAATTACGTAAATCAACTATGACAATAACATTTACTTCAAGAAAGCTTATTATAAAAATAATATAAAACAACTCTTGGATTTTATGATAGATACATATTATCGTCGTAGGTGTAAATAATACACTCAAAAGTAATAAATTTACTAGTCCTGATATAATTATACATTATAATTATAATTCTTCATGTGATACATGCAAACAGTTCGATGCGATGCGTATTCGAATTGAATAATTCTGTACATTAGCTGTACATTAACGTAACGATTTATTTATGACTACTTCATAGTATACAACACTTGAAAACCGCAAGATTTATTTCGTAGCTTGTTGCTCACATAAAACTTTGCACAAATTTCCTTGCTCGTGATGCGAGAAACATAGTCACGTCAGTCATGTAAAAACGTATATAAAAATCTAGATTTTTCTCTCTGCTCATTTCTTTGATAAAGAAAATTACATCTTTTCGACGAAGAATGTCATTTAATTGTATTGAAAATATAATATCGTTTAATATGCAATTAAATATAATAGTCAATTAAAACTATTAATGATCTCAAAAACATTTAATTTCAATAAAAATAGGAAGATATTTAAATAAAAAAACATATTAAGTGCTTATCAATCTATTCTGGAAAGATATATTTATATTAGATTTATATAGTTTTCATAAATAATTTTAAAAGTTAATAAAATTCTTACACACATCTGCTTTCAAATAAATTTTTACGTATTTATATTTATATACTTGTTTAATGTATATAAATACGTAAAAATTTATATATAATGTATATTTAATGTAAAAATGTATATAACTTTTTCCGTTATATAATTTTATAATTAAGAGTTATATAATATACAATTAAAAATTATTTCCGTTATAGAATAATAATAATAAGTTTTAATGAACGATCATAAATATTATTATAAATATTATCGTAGATATTACGAGTTCGCAACATTGCAATCAAGTAATTAAACAAGAAAATTGTGAACATATGATCATCTTTGTAGGAAGATTTATGTGCCATAAGATATATTAGTATTTTAATATAGTTTATCATAACAAAACTTTTTGTATAATGAGTGTATAACGAGTATAATGAGTAATCATGCATTATCTTTTACATTATCTATATATGATTCTTATTAATTCAAAATTGAGACTTTTGAAAAATGCGAGAATGGAATGCGAGAATAATTGAATAAAGTATTTTAAAAAAATAATTTAAAATATGTGAATATGTAATAAAATAGTTTGTTCTAATAATTAACATATAGAGCTAATATTTGATTTTTAACTTTAAAATTTCAACTTCTTTTTTATATAAAGTTCAATAACATTATTATTTAGTTAAGCGAGATCGATAATTATTATTGTAAAATGTGCAGAGTACGATAAGAAAATTAATATTTTTAATACATATAAAATAGTCATATAATTCTATATATATAAAACTGCAGCAAAGTATAAGACTTATTACTATAATTTTATAAAGAAAGCTTATTGATGTAGCATTCAAATTTATGATTGACTTTTCTTAGTTTATTATCTTTATCATTATCTTTTATTTTGTTGAAAAGAATAGTTTTCAACTATGTTGCAGATAATAGTATAAATTTCATACAGCAATTTAGATGTCCATAATGGAATGCAAATATTGCCAATGAATAAAAATCGGTACAAATTTATTTTATTATTATATAAAATATGCTGACAGTGTGTCTATAATATATTCAAAGAGTATGCCGATATAGAGTGCGATGATATCAGCCATTATCGCTTTTCAATAGGATATACGGATAACTGTTGTGGATAACTAAATAATTTGTGAGATAATAATTTATCGAAAAATATTAATCTTGAATCGTTCTCGCAACTGGTAACGCTTCGTTGAGTTTCAGTCTGACTTTCTCAAGCGTGTAGCTATTCATTTTCACAAAGTGCGACTTGAATGTTGCACATGGAACTATTGTTTTGCAAAGTAAAGTTGTAAAAAATAGACAGCAAATTGTGAAAAATTGAAATTTTTTTCAGAAAACTTTATCGTATGGTGTCTTCTACGACAAAATAATACTACGTAGATTAGTTTATTAACAGGAAAGAAATAGTTTTGAAGTATTTGAAATATTAGTGAAGTGAAATATTGTTGTTTACTGAATAATATCGCAAATAATATACCATTAAAGAATTAAAAATTGTATGCGTTAAAAAATGGTTCCGTTGTAAATGCTTATTTCATATACAATGCTTTAATTATAGAGAGACTGCAAAATATTTGTTATATCGTAATACACATTGCTTATAATTTGCTTTCAACAAATAAAATTAAATTAACGAAAAGTTGTTGCAAATGTTGAAACGTACCGTATGTATTCTAAACTAGCAATTATTATTAGATATTAACTTGCGGAAGTTTCAGAGAAGAAAAATGGTAACCGTTGCAGCAAGGCTGTTTGTTACGCACCATGTTACGAAGAACGGGTTTACCGGTTGCATACCGGTAGTGTGTGCAATCAGTACGCTCTCCGGAATTGTGCGCAAAATAAATTCTTCTTCGTAATTAGACTAATCTATTTTTATACAATTATGATTCGGCGCGGCTCTGTATGCCACGATATTTTAAATATAAAATATAAAGATAAAATCATTAGTGTCGGAAATATCTTCTTTATTTATATTATAAACAAAAATAATAGAAAATACGTTCCACATACAAATCATCATTATATTAACATAAAGTACTATTACTCTCTTGAAATACTTATTTAATTATTTTTAAAGAATTTTTATACAAAAAATACAAACAGAATATATGTATGTGTATGTGTGTATGTATATATTATCGCAATAATTTTAATATTTTTAGAAATTAAAGAATAAGTTATTAAATATAATTATTAAATCATTAGAATTTTTATTTGATCATAAAAGAGAGACTATAAATGAGAATGAGATGAGATAGATGGAATCGTTGGCGCAAAATTATATTCTATTCATATGATATTATGCTTTCGAAAATGCCTAAAACAGCATGAATTATTCGATGTACTATCCGTGAAATGAGTAACAGGTTCAGAAAGCGTACAGATTTTTCGATCACAATAATGACGTCGTCGTGAAATTGCTAAATTCAGCAACACAGTATGAACAATATTGATGTGCAATATTCACGATAATCGTGTTCACGCTAATTTAGTCATGC